AGGCTGAATGCTTTGCTTGGAAATTCTCATTTAATTCAACGCTCGACTCCTCCAGTGTACCCATACCAGACTTCCCTCTAAGAACTGAGGCCCTATTGCACATAACCCCATCATTGGTATTGGGCATTATTTCCAATTTAGACCCCCACAAGGCTAGTGGTGGAGATGGCATACTAGCCATTGTCTTGAAGAAATGCGCGCCTGAGCTAGCACCCGCCCTCTCTAAACTGTATAATTACTGCCTTAAGGAATCCTGTTTTCCTGACTGCTGGAAGTCCTCATCCATCGTTCCTGTCTTTAAGAACTCTGGAGACCCCTCTGATTACCGTCCTATTAGTCTCCTACTCCTCTTCGAAGCCCTAATCAACGCCGAAGTGGTTAACCACCTTACCTCACACGACCTGCTCTCAGACAAGCAATATGGTTTCCGCTACGCCCGATCTACAGCTGATGTGCTTACGGCCATCACTGAAATTGTCTACCAAGCCCTTCAAAATAATGGTAAGGCTAGTGCCGTGGCCCTAGACATCTCCAAAGCATTTGATAGGGTTTGGCATGCCGGCCTTCTTCACAAGCTCCAGGGTTATGGTATTACAGGTCGATTGTTTGACCAAATACAATCATTCCTGTCAAACCGTGAATTGAAGGTCGTTCTCAACGGATTCTCCTCCAGATCTTATCCCACGAATGCAGGTGTTCCCCAAGGCTCCATCCTTAGTCCCCACTCTATTCCTTAATTCCATCTACGACCTTCCTGACGCCATAGATTCCCAAGTTGGCATCTACACGGACGACACTACAATTTACTCCTGCCTCAAAAACAAATCTAGTGTCGCTGACAAAACTAACCTGGCCGTTCGTCTTGAAATGGACCTCCAATTGGTTGTTAATTGGGGCAAGAATTGGCTGGTCAACTTTAACGCCTCAAAAACTAAACACCATAGAGATCCTTCCCTGCACCCCCGAATGTCTGATAGTCAACTTCTCGAGAGCAACTCTCTGCGTCTGCTCGGTCTCACGTTGACTGCTGACCTGAGATGGAACAAATACATTGAGTCAATTGCATTGTCCACCGCGAGGAAAGTTGGCTCTCTGTGCCGCGCCAGGAAATTTTTCTCCCTGGAATCGATACTGCAAATATACAAATCAACCATTCGCCCTTGCATGGAGTATTGCTGCCATATATAGTGTGGGGCACCTTCTGTTTACCTCGGAGTTCTTGACAAGATCCAGAGACGGATATGTAATATAATTGGCCTGGATCTGGCATCTTGTCTACAGTCACTCTCTCACAGACATGCCGTCACCTCTCTCTGTCTTTTTTACAAATACTTTCATGGTAATTGCTCCGATGAGCTGCTTTCACTGGTTCCCAGACTCCATGAATTCAAGCGCCCTACGAGGCTGGCATCCCACTCTCACCCTTTCACTGTAGAAACTTTTAAATGTAGCCGTCTCTTCTACTCCAATAGCTTCATACCTCACACATCTCGCCTGTGGAACACCCTTCCCTATTACTGTTTCCCTGAGAGCTATAATCTCCAACTATTCAAATGTAATGTCAATCGACATCTCCAGTTACCTTGATCTATCCACTATCCCTCTCCTCATCCTTTCTTCTATCACTCCTATCTGCTCTCGCTCCAAATCTTCTGCCTCCCCCTGCATTCTAGTGGCTTCACGCCTTGCTCGGGGCGTAATGCTTAAAAAAAAAATCGGTCGGGTTTTGGTCCCGGCTTGAAGCAATCGGATGTTTAGCCACCATGATGAGCTTGCTGTGATACAGCGAAACAGTCTTTCTGTGGATGATGGCATATATATATATATATATATATATATATATATATATATATATATATATATATATAGATAGATAGATGTGTGTGTAGATTTAATAGGAAGTTTAATAAAATTTGAGGAATAAAAAGCCAACAAAATGATAATATTGGCAATAAGATTGATGATATTTATTATATATTATTAGTCTTTTGACTAAATTGAAGCACAAAGAGAAAGATTTTAAAGTCAGAATTTTTAGACTCGTCTGTGACTTTTTAACAAGATGAGGAATAAACAAAGACTTGGGATTTTATTCCTTGTCTCACTGAAAAAGGACACAGACATATCCAAATATTGTGACTTTAAAATCCTTCTTTTCATGCTTCAATTTAGTCAAAAGGCTAATATATAATTAATATCAATATTATTGCCAATATTGTTATCATTTTGTCGACTTTTTATTCCTCAAACTGACTTATTAAATCTACATATTATAAGAATCACATGTGAACCATTTTTGTTTTAATCATATATATATATAATTTTCTGAAATCAAAACTGCATACTTACAATTAATATCTTAGCAGATAATCCCAATATAATGGCATAAATGTATTTTTGGGATCACCAGTAATCTATAGTAATTTGATTTTGATGATTAGATAATATAACAAATATTAATAGAATTACTTTTTTTATTTATATAGATGAAAATGTATTCATTACAAAATAAGAATAAACTGGAATATCAAAAGGGAATCAGTTTTTACTTTAGAAGAAAAATAATTACTAAAAATAAAAAATTCTTAAACTTGTATATTTCTATAACATGAAATATCTGATAAGCCTATGAATGTATGGAATGTGGTTTTCATGACATGCAATGAACTTAGTCACATTTCTCAAACACTAGATTTTTAATCTGGGATTAATGTTTTAATGAGATGCAAAATGGTGTAACAATTACTGCAAGAAAAATGAAATCAACAAAGTGTTCAAATTTCTGCTGAAGCTATTTTTATTCAGCTTGTACTAAGGCTTGAATCCATTTCTTTGCTTTTATCCAACTAAAAGACTTGTCAAAATGCCTTGTGATTGGTGTTATGATAATTGACAGAGTAGAAAGTAAGTGAATGAGTGTATGGGCAAACTATTCTTCTATAACTACTTCACCTGCCGAAACAGAAGCACCAAAAATCTGTTTACCCCGCATTAGCTAATCAATCTTTATAATAATTTTAATTTTTTGCTTTCATAAATTTAAAAAAAAAGTTGATATAAAGACAAATATAATCTGTAATATCAAGTGAAAGAATTGACATTTTATGAAAAAAAAAGTCATAATGCAATTGATTAAATTAACTTGTCCTTTAAAGTTGCTATGGTTATCAGGCCTAAGAAAAAAAATCTATTGAACAAGAGAAATAATAGATTCCTCTAACTAATGCTTATACAATTAAGCAGAGATGTTGTTTTAAAGTAAATTACTTGGTCCCAGCTACAACCATGTCATCTATTATTCCCAGCAGAATAAATTTAGAACTAATATCTGCAAAAGTTATGAATTTTAAAAGTTTGCAACAGTAAATTTTATTCGATATAAACACCTTTCATCAGTGTTTAAATTGTGCTCCTTACTGTGCACTGTTCAAAGGAATGATTTCCAGAAAATATTAACAAAAACATAGAATACTTTATATAAAACTAAAGCAGCTAATCAAATAGAATTTGGTAAATAGGAAACATGTATCCATTCATAAGAGCAATAAGAAGTGATGAACACTGAAGATATTTAGCATTTTATTTACTAAGTGATAAAAAAACATTTGATGTATATCATTCTTGAAATACAGTCAAATGATTGTCAGATATCTTTGTTCTTTTTATTAATTCTCCACTTATTTCTCTCTGATTACTTGGATAAGCTAAGCAGTCCCATTATAAACATGTCATTAATGGAATGAATATTAATTTCTATGTATTTAGAATTTTTATTTTACAGGATATTTGAAAAATAAGTGTTGCTCAATTAATTTCAGGAAGTAATGAAATCATAATCTTTTTTAGAAAATGAGAAATATTGGAATATTCTTATGTACACTACCTGCCAATTATTTATACAAAGACTAATCTAATTAATCTAATTAAAGATATACCAGTAAAAATACCATATTTCAAATATCTGTATCATGATTTAATTTCTCCTAATAAAAATCTTTATTCATGATATAAGCAAATCATGGTGACCACAACAAATAATTATTTAGTAAAACAAATTATTTTAACTGAAATCAGAATCTTCTATGAAATTCAATAGAATTGAAAAATAAGAAAATCTTTTATTTTATAATTATTATAACACTAAAGACCTTGTGATAGTTTATTTCTTTTTTAACTGATGACAAATGACAGTAAAATTGGGAGAATTTCCTCACAGATGAAGAAAAGGCTTGAAGCAATGGAGATGTGGTTTTACTGATGAATATTGAGTATGGATAGAGTATGAAAGAAATGAGGAAGTTTTGAGAATAGGAACTACAAAGTAACTTTTACTAATAAGCAGAACAAAGATAGCTGAAATTTGAGAGCACATAAAGAAAGAAGGCTTGGAGAAATTAATGCTCACAAGGCATATTGAAGGCCAGAGAAGCAAAGGAAAACCTACTTGACCAGTTTGAGTAAATGGATGGTGGAACATGTATGACAAAGACCGCAACAAGTGGTCATTACAAAGATTTAATTAGAGCAATAAAAGATAGGAAGTTGGGGAAAGCAATGATTGCTCATATCCTAAAGGAACATGGAGAGATTGTTTTCTTCACTCTTGAAACAAGAAAAATTTTACATAGTTTATTTCTATTTAAATCATACATTAATCATTTTAAGGGTAATTGTTTGCTTGAAGATAATAATTTGTATTACTATCAAAATGAAAATACTTATATTTTTATAATTATTCAAAGGTTAAAAATCTTTTAATTTAGTAAATGATATCTAGCTTTTTTAAAACCACTTAGTGATATATGGTTTTATTCATTTTTATAGAATGAACAGCCTGAAAATACCTACAGCCTTTTCCTTGAATATGTCAAATATAATGGCATTTCTGTCATATTCCCTTGGCAAATTTCATCCATAAATTGAAAATTATTAAAGAATTATTTGCATTCATCAATGCAAAAAATGCTCTAATATAAATTATAGGTAGGTAAACTACTTACAACTCCAATGGAGAAATAATTGTTAATAATATTCAAAGGAACTGCATCTCCTGGCTCTTCTCCACCATTATCCTCTACAGCAATGCTCCACCGATCTAACATTGCAACAGTACTTTTTTCTAGAGAGTGAATAATTCTTTCCAAACTTTCACCCTCATAACCTAAAATGAAAAGAGAAAAGAAAATGGCAATTAAAAACAGTTAAAAAAACAAATTAGAATAAAAATGAAGTTATAAAAAGTTTTGATATGTTATACTGTATTTTGGTAATCTTGAGTTAACAGTTGTATATTGAATGCTGTTTCTCATAATTTTATCCAATCTTTTTTATTTATATAGTTTTATTTAAAAAAAACAAAACAACAAAAACACTATCATTTTAAAACTATTTTTCACTTTGAGGGAATTTCTTGTGGTGAAACATGAATCTGATTGAGTTGGCATGAGAATAATAGCAGCTGGTTTTACTACTTCATTTCTCATGTAAATCATTTCACACATTTATTTTTCACTTGCTTTATTTATCAAAGGAAAAAAAATATTCTCCCAATGAACATTTGGTGCTATGAAAAAGAAATGACCAAATAACATTCTAAATATTGGTCTTTGAACTTTGAAATTTTTATTATGAAGAATATGGATCTAAATAAACAAATTATAAATATTACATCCAAAGTCAAAATATACAATGACAAAATAGTTAAAAAATTATTAAAAATTAGTTTATGTCAACTTAAACATTTTAATATAGTTAAGTTCCAATATCAAAATAAATACTTAGCAATCTTTTCTCTACATATTCCTGTATTTCATCTAATTACAAGCTTATATTAAATGTGAATATTAAAAACTTAACTATTAAGTTAAAGTGACATAATACAGTTACCCCAAATTTTAGCATTGCATGCAAAAACTCCTTTTAAAATTGCTTATAAAATGATAATCAGAGGTCAACTAATCTAAAATACAATGAATTCAAAATGTAGAAAGACAGAAGAAAGTAAAATTTTATGCCTTACCTGGACCCCAGTTTAAACACCGGGCCAGATCATTTCCTGTACCCAATGGTAACACAGCAACAGGAATACGAGTTTCCATTTCCATTTTATCTGAAGAGGAAACAGTTCCAGAAATATAAAATTTTCATAAATACTTCATTGATAAATTCTTTACATCATATTTGTAAATATTTGTCACATTCAAGTTTGCTGATTTATCTGAGTATTATTGATTGTAATAGCCTACAAAGAGATATATTATTATAATCTCCACAATAATTTTAAGAACAACATTTCAATACAAAGATCCTGCATTGTACTCTCCAATTCATGTGGTTAGAAATATCAGTAATTTAATGGTTAAATAAGCTGATAGGATTTATTAAGTCCCTGTTTCTAAAAATCTCAATAGTTTATATTGAACCACTATGGTAAATGGCTTTTTTAACTGAAAGTTCAATTGAGATAAAATCCATGTGGAATATTGCCAGCTCTATTTCTGTATATTAGCCAGATCAAATCAAGATATTGTGTCCAAAATGAATTCTGAATTTTCTACATAACTCTCAAATTATTTTTGCTAAATTTATAAAGCATAAATTTAAAATAATTGGTAATCTTTCGTTCTTTCAATAATCTAATTTCTGTATGCAATCAAAAGTTGCCTAATCAACATGTTATTATTCAATATGATTGATTTTGAGGATACTGAATGTGCATTAATGAAAAGGATTAATTTTATATGAAGCAACAAATGAACTTTAACCCACTATGGTAGAAGTAGCTTAGTTACTGTTTTGTAGTGGAAAGTTTTCAAAGCAATTAGAAAAATATTTTTTTCTTTTTTGTTTTCTTTATTTGAATATGATTTTAAATTGCGCAGATAAAAATAATTCTTACTAAATGAAATGATTTTGAAGGAAACTAATAAAAGCAAGAATAAAAAATCTAGGAGAATATGATATATAAATTCTATATATCAACCTAGATGGGTAATTGAATGACAAAACAGAAAAAATCTTATGTCACCTATGTATTTCTTGTGACATTTATTAGTCTTTTGGGTAAATCTCTACTTCAAATTTAAGGTTGTTATTTTATTTTGTATTAAATCTTTTATAGTAGTAACAAATTTTATATTAAGTTTAGATAAATTCTTTTCAAATGTAGTCATTATTGAGTTGGTAGGTAGTATTATATGTCTGGTTTTATTAAGATTATTTATATTCTTTATTTTTCTAGTTTCATAAATCTGATAAGACTTGTAGTACTATTTTTTAGTTAACTTTTTAGCTGCATTATAAGTTGAAATCACTTGATCAATGTGATTCATGTCTCACATCATCTTCAAGAAGCTTACTCTTTTCTTAGTCTTTGATTTCGACATCATATCTTTTGTCTCACCATATTGCATAACTATAAGTTGAAATCACTTGATCAATGTGATTCATGTCTCACATCATCTTCAAGTTGAAAGCTTCTTTTTTTCAATGATTCATTTAGTCTTTGAGCTTACTCTTTTTTTTAGTCATCTTTTGTCTCACCATATTGCATAACTATAAATTTATCTTTATACATTGAAATAATCTTGTCATGTTTTTGTTTTGATTTTGAAATTTCCTATTGAGTCATTTTTTAAAATTTCATTTACAAAGTTCCAACTGCATCCATCATGTAGTCAAACTAAAAAAAAAATCAAAGAGGTGTTAAAGTGTAATAGTTATCTATTGTAAGATAAAATTTGAAAATACCATCACAGGCTAAATAGCTTCTGTTCATTGCCTGACTGGAGGACAGTGTGCCTATTTGATGTCCTAACCCACAGACAAAAGTGCATTTCAATCAATCATAGTAAAATGGAAAATTTCATCATTCACATTGGGTTATAGTTATATATGTGTCACTGATAGACATTTTTGTGATTCATAGTTGAGCCACAGAATTGCAATGACAAATTCTCATCATGCATATTTAATGGATTCACACTGTTTATGCTAACAAAGTATTATGTTGTGTATATTGCTAAGTAAGCATTCGACCTCTGTTCTAGTTGGTGTCCATTTATCATGAGCTACCTGCTCATATGCAAATTAGTATAATTTGCATATCACTACATCTCCCTATAACGGAGGGGCCTTATGCCGCGAGTACTTCTTGTACTTCTTCTTGTGCCCTCCTGAACATCTTCCTTTATCTCTCTCCTTTCCCTTGGAGATCTAGATCTATCACGTCTTTCCCTATAATCGAACTGTTCCTCTTGCATACTGTGGTCTTTCTCTTCTAACTTGTCCCATTCTACTTCTTCCTCCTCTAACTCATCCCTCTCTACTTCTTCCTCCGCAGTTTCATTCTGCATTAACTCTTGTTACATCAATAACGGGCATCTCTGAAGGCATTTCCTCATCCGATTCTTCTCCTTGGGATCTTATTTGGTCAGTATGAGCTAGAACACTGTTCCCATTTTCTTTATTTAATATTGCAGTATTATGTCCTTTCTGCATAATAAATTTGGCTGACTTGGGTTGCATATTCCTATTTCTTTTGTACCACATCTTTTGATTTGTGGCATATAACATAGTCAAAGGGGACCTTAATTGTCTGCCCATTAAGGCAGATGGACTTTCCAGCCTGCCTGCATGTGGAATTGTTCTATAACTTAATAGTAGTCTTGGTAGAAAAGCATCGACTTCCTCCTTCTGTTGCAAGCATGCTTTTATGCCCTTCTTTACCGTCTGGACCATCCTTTCCGCTGTCCCATTACTTTGAGGGTGGTAGGGAGGGGTCTTGTAAGGTCTGCATCCTATTTTTCTTAGCCATTCATGCAAATCAGCATCCACAAATTCTGGTGTGTTATCAGTCACCAATGTTCTCGGTGTCCCATTCCTTGAAAATATTACTCTTAATATTTGTTTTATGGTGGTACTTTTTTTATCAGGTACTCTCACCACTTCAATTTTTTTCTTTAAATCATCTTCATTTAAATCTCCAATACATATATCGTCTTGATAACAGATGGTATTTTCAACATTTCCTATTACTTTTTTCAATAGCTTTTGAAAAATTGCACTTGCTGTTTTTTATGCCATGGCATTCTTTTCCACCTTAACAGGCCTATAGGTGTGTTTATGGTCGTCACTTCTTTAAAATTTTCATTTATCGGTATTTGGTGGTAAGCTGATTTTAGGTCTATCTTCGAAAATACTTTCATTCCAGCAAGTTTATGTAAAGCTACTTCCACATTCGGAATAGGGTACGAGTCAGCACAAACTTTATGGTTCACCCCTATTTTATAATCTCCACAACCAGCTGTAGCCATGAACAAGTCAGTGATTTCATTTTCCCCTCCTCTGTTTTTGTTGTCTTTCAACTTTTTACATCTTGCATTAGCAGCAAAGCAATGAATCCACGTATCTACGTACCCTGGGTCTTCAAGGACCAAAGAGTATCCTATCGGCGACGCCATTGTTATGTCGTGTATATTGCTAAGTAAGCATTCGACCTCTGTTCTAGTTGGTGTCCATTTATCATATGAGCTACCTGCTCATATGCAAATTATACTAATTTGCATATCACTACACAAAGATAAATTAATTTTTTGTGGCTTATAATGAAAGAATTTGTTATTGACAAGCCTCAAAGACATTTGTGATTTAGTGGCTTAAAATAATCAATTTGTTAGAAATACAAGTAAATACCCATTGCATCTAGAATCCAGCCTACAGTACCATCACCTCCACACACAAGCACTCGGGCATTTTTGACATCCTTGAAAAACTGCAAGCTGAAATACAGATACAAAAAGCATAAATTCAGTCATTTAAATTCTGATAATAATCTTTTAGTTAAATTAATGCAGGTCATATAAAATAATATAAAATGAATTCAGCACTAAATATACATTCACAATGAAAATTTGAAATTACAACTATTAATTTTAAATTGATTGTTAAAACAAAACTCACCCAGGCTTTGGGCCACCTTTGCTCAAGTTATACACTTGTCTAGGATTAAACATGTATTGAAATTTCTGAAACATTCTGAAAAGTAATAATACACAAAATATTTCAAGTTAAGAAAAGTATTTCAAAATTTAAAGAAAAAATATTATTAAATATTCTTTTATGAAATTTTAAAATATTTTGAAGTCTCTCTCTCTCTCATATATATATATATATATATATATATATATATATATATATATATATAAATGGCATTCTGTTAGTGTGTCTGTGTGTTTGTCACCTTGTTACCTCATCCTGAGCAAACCGTTCGTCCGATTGGCATGAAAATTCACACACAGATCGAAAATTTACGGCATTCATACTTGACGTCTTCGAATTTTTTGATTGTACCTCCAATTTTGGAAAAAATAAATAAAACCGATAAGGATCAAATATTGACGTAAAAAAAATTTCTTCAGTTTTTCAGTGATAGTTTTCACAAATTACAAGTGATATCCACCAAACTCACATTGAGCAATGTCCTTACTTATAGTTTTGAGGTACTGTTCTTTGTTTTTAAAAATTGATACCAGTTATCGGAAAAAAATCGATCACTTTCAAATCCAATGTAGCTGATTTTTGGCTCTGTTTTTCGCAAATTGCAAGGAATTTTCACGAAAATCATGTTGAGGATTAGTTTTAATCAACAGTTACTAGTTGCTGACCTTTTTCTTCAATATCGGTATCAATTATCAGAAAAAAATCGATAGCATCATGCCACTTTTGACTTCCAATTCGAATCCAGTCAAGCTGATTTTTGGCTACATTTTTCGCAAATCGCGAAGAATTTTCACCAAAATTATGCTGAGCATTGTTTTTTATCAACAGTTATGAGGTGCTGACATTCATTTTCAATGTCAATATCAATTACTGGAAAAAATCGATACAATCGATCACTTTGGGACATCCGATTCAAGTCCAGTCTGGCTGATTTTTCACAAATGGCAAAGAATTTTCAGCAAAATTCCTGTTGAGCATAGTATTTACCAACAGTATTGAGGTGCTGACTTTTGTTTTCAATATTAGTTTCAATTATCGGATAAAAATCGATGAAATCATACCCCTAATACCTGAGGGAAGTTGATACAATTATGTCTTCAGCGGAATTTGTGAATACACCAATCAAACATATGAGACGTCTACACTACAGACACTACAGCTGATTGTTATTCACACATGCGTGATCATGCTTCACATAGCGGTATCTCATTGGCTGAGTGCAGTACGCGGTCGCTGATTGGTGTTCAAGACCCTAGGACGCTCGCTGATTGGCACAACCGATTGGCCAGTAATACTTCGCATTTGAACCTGCTGTGCACAGCTGTGGGACGAAGGTCTCACTTCTGCTCCTGTTACACCGCCATCCAGTTGATGTGATAGGCTCCTTCAACTGATCATTTCTCCTACCGCAAGTTGTTTCTTACATTTTTGTTTTCCGTTTGTTTGTTTAACTACATTTTTCCAACTACCATAAACAATTTATTCAGCTGTTTTACTTAAATACCTGCCTTCCTGATTCTGGCTCATGCTTGGCGATACTAAGTTAGACTTTGTATTCCTGCAATTGAGCAACCCTAATCAACCACTACTAGCATCACTTTTCCCCATGCCACCAAAAAGGAGGGTATGTCTTAGCCTTCGGTCTGCAAGAGTGTCCGATATGAGTGCAAGAAGTTCCTACGAGTCCCAGGAGCAGACTACAATGTGACTATCACAGGTCACTCAACGCAGCACCCTCACGCAGGCCTCGCAGTTACAAGAGGAGTGTGCCACCTGCTTGGCTGGGAAAGCTGCCTACAGGGCTTCGTTGCAATCAAGGCTCAAGAATGCACAATGGTTGAGAATGAATGCATAAGCTGCAGCAACCGCCTCTGTATCTATGGCTTTGGAGACTCATCATCAAAGGCTTCTTTGTAACGTAAGAAACCCTGCTACCACTGCAAAATCAAGGGCAATAGAGACACTTGACCATAGATACGCCCGTTAATCCAGGGATGTTGCTGCAACAGTGAGCGCTAGGGCTGCTGAGACACCGCTCCGTAGGTCTGGGCGAAATGCTACGAATGCAGCCACCACTGCCAGGTTGAGGGCGTCGAGGGCAGTAGAGACACCTGCCCACAGGCGAGCCTGTCAATCCAGGGATGCTGCTGCAACAGTGACCACTAGGACTGCTGAGACACCGTTCTGTAGATCTGTTTGAAATGCTACGAATGCTGCCACCACTGCCAGGATGAGGGCAGCTGAAATATTTGACCACAGGTGCACACGTCACTCCAGGGATGCTGCTGCAACAGCTAGGTCGAGGGAGTCCGAGACAGAGCTGCACGGGCAACCTGCAATGCCCGCAATGCTGCAGCAACTTCTGCCAGAAACTCCAAGGGCCCAAACATAAGGGCAAACAGACTTTCAAGGGCTGCTACAAACATGGCCGCTGTGCACATATCTCATTCTCCCCAAGCTCGCCGTATATGCCTAGACGGTGACATTAGGCACCTTGCAGTCGCCCATGGTATTACCTGTCCCAGTATCTCTTTTTGGTCTTTCTTGGCTTTCAATTACGACCCCAGCATTAACTTAACTATGCATGATGACATCATTGTAGGGTCCATGACCTGCGTTTGCCAATTCTGCAACACCCACAAATGGGCTGGGGAGCCTGCCAGTCTGTGTTGCTCCTCTGGCAAAGTTCGACTGCCACCTCTGCATGAACCACCTACCCCATTGAGGGGACTAATAGTTGGCTCTCATCCTGACTCCAACCACTTCCTTAAAACAATTAGACAATACAACAACTCCTTTCAAAAGACCTCATTTGGGGCTCAGGTGGTTCAAGAAGAGGGTTGGATGCTCACTTTCAAAGTACAGGGGCAGGTATACCACCGCATTGGGTCTTTGCTGCCTGAGGAGACCTCTATACCTAAATTCCTTCAACTGTACTTTATTGCAGACTACAACCTACAGACTGAAACCTGGATTGTTATTTTTGCCGCTGTTGGGAAGAGTTCCTTGCAGGGACGTCATATTACTAGTTCAGGTCATGCTCCCTTTCTTTCCTTCAGCATTGTAATTGACGCTGACAAATGGCCTCATCATGAACATGAACGCCGCTACAATGCTCCTGCGTGCAACGAAGTGGCCGCTATTATACATGGGGAGCAAGACCACACTCACAATATTGTCCTCAAATCAAGAGGTGGTGCTCTTTGCAAGAATTTCAGAGACCCATCCATCATATGACGCATTGCAGTACCCTTTACTTTTCCTTTATGGTAACGATGGCTACCACTTCGGCATTCTCCTTCATATTCCAGGTGGCCAACCTACAACGTCTTCCAAAGCCTTATTGTGCAAGGCCTTCTACTCATACTGGTTCATGGTTAGGGATGGAGACTTCAACCTGCTTCATAGATGCAGGGAGCTTTTCCACCAGTTTGCGGTTGACATGGCCGCTAAGATGGAATCGGAGAGGCTTTATTTTATACGGAATCATCAGAAACAGCTACGCTCAGACTCCTACGTACACTTACACGACAGCCTTCAAAACGAAGTCAATCCCCACATGCCTTCATTACGAGTTCACTCAAACTTTGCTATATCCACAAGTTTCATCATACTACGTTTGGGCGAAAAATATTTGGAGTCGCAGGAAGTCTGGCCAGAGTGTTAACGGGTACCCCGGCATTAAGTTTGACACCTGCCTTGGTCGGGTCTACACTGTGTCACCAAATCAGCAGGTTTGCTTCTTCCTCCGGCTTCTGCTTCATGAGGTTGTTGGTTCGACAAGTTTCGAGGCCATTTGCACTGTTGACAGCGTCGTGTGCAACACCTACCAAGAGGCTTGCCTTAAACATGGCTTTTTGGAGGATGATTCTCAGTGGGATGCTGCCATGGCAGAGGGAGCTCTCTTACAGGCACCTGCGACCTTTTGATCCTTATTTGCACTCTTAATAGTAAGATGCGAAATAAGTGACCCCACTGCTTTATGGGCTAAGTACAAAGACTTCATGTTGGAAGACATTTTGTACATGGCACAGCAGCAATGTCCTTCAGCCGAGTTGGGCTACACGGACCTTATTTACAATAGGGCGCTCATTCAGGTTGAAGACATTGCTCTTGAAATGGGTTGAGCTGTGCTAATGACATGCAGGTTACCTCTGTCGGTGCGAGATGGCACTGCCGACTTATCACCAGAAATACTGCTGACCTCGACCGCTATGCCCGAAAGAATGAATTAGGCCTCCTACCAGAACAAAGAACAGCTTACACCATGGTGATTGACACCATCCAACAACAGCACGGTGGCATCTTCTTCCTATAAGGCACCCAGTGGCACCAGGAAAACGGTTGTTACAAAACTAATTCTAGCTGAAATCAGGCAACAGAGACATCGCGCTTGCTGCTGCCTCATCCAGGATTGCGACCACATTGTAGACGATCAAACAGACGGCACACTATGTTTAGACTTCTGCTTGACCTTGCCAAGTCCGAAATTCCAACTTTCAGAAGTTTTGGGTCAGGCTGACGTATTAAAATGTTGTAAACTCATAGTGTGGGACGAATGCACTATGGCTCACAAACAAGCACTCGAGGCGTTGAATAGGTCCCTCTAATAGAGCTGTTCTTGCTCCAAAAAACACCACAGTTACTAGCATTAATGAGCAACTCCTGCAGTGCATTTCCGTGGATGATTACATCTACAAATCCATCAACAGGATGCCCGACCTGGACAACCTTACGGACTACGCGGTCGAACTTTTGAATTCCTTAGAACCTGACGGGCTTCCGCCTCACACGCTGAGACTGAAAGTGGGCGTGCCCATTTTGCTTTTTCATACCCTGGTTCCCCTGAAACAGTGCAATGGTACACGCATGGTGGTTAAGTCTTTGGCACCAAATTTAATTGAAATGACAATTCTTACCGGTTGCTGAAGGGGTGAAACTGTATTCATACCGCGCATGCATCTATCTCAGTCGGGTTCAGATGTGCCCTTTACATTCCGCCAGTTGCAGTTTCCTGTTAGATTTTGCTTTACAATGTCTATTAATAAATCACAGGGCCAAACACTACATGTTGTGGGAATTCACCTTGGAGAGCAGTGTTTTTCCCACGGCCAGCTTTACGTAGGCTGTTCACATGTAGGTAGAAGCGAGGACATATTTGTCTTCGCTCCCTGGGGTTCTGCAAAAAACGTCGTTTATAAGGAAGATCTGTAGGTTGATGGGACGCAGGCGGTGACTGACAGTTTACCTCTATGTTGTCTTCAGGACTGTATAAACCGTCAGTGACAGCACAAACTGCCACGCAAAGCTCCAATTCCCAAAAGCAGTTTTCCCTCTTACCACACCTTCACAGCCTACCAACCTTACAGACATCGGTGAAATTTGTCTCCCATTGTTACTACACCGTGCCAGATAAACACTTCCTTTGGCGTATTCGCATGGCTGCTTGCATTTTCTGTCAAACTCTCCTGTCTACTGCCACTGTCATCTCCATTACACCACTACCATCTATACTGTGGAGGCATCAATAATTGTGTTATGTGCCCCCCAGGCAATGCAATGCATCACTGATGCTGCATCCATTCCCAACATTTTTGAATAGCTGAGCGCTACAGGGAGCTTGCAATGACATGCGCTTTCCTTAGGTTTCAGTGTTCAGTTCTGTCATACAGTTGATCACCGGCAGTGCTACATGAAACGCATCACAAACATCACTCTTCACCTTTGTGGGATTATCTTCTTATTAATATTAACTGAACATTGAATGTTCACACAAATAATAATTGGTGGCTTACACCAGAGAGTAAGTGACACTAAGTCTCCTTGGGATTCCAGCACTCTTCAGTATTCTAGCTAATTTCAACAATGCAATTTCCCAGACTTCCAGGTTCTTTTCTCAAAGTTCTTTGTGACCATTCCTAGCGGTTCAATAACAACTGGTAAAACTGTTAACTTCATGTTCTACTTTTTCAGTTCTATGACAAATTCGAGATACTTTTTCTATCATTTCCCTTTTTCAAGTCTTACTCTATTGTCTGCCAGAACAAAAAATCAACTGAAATGTTTTCATACAAGTACTAAATTTTAATGGTATTTTAAAAACTTTTTTTAGGGCAGATTCTATTCTGTTCCTTTACCATTTTTCTGTAATATCTAAATGTACTTGCTTGCAAAGTTTCCAAAGAATCACTTTCCACAACAGGTTATAAATTAAAATTGTTGTATTTATCAATAAATTATAAGTCATTTTTAACATATATGAAACATTCCAGAGTAATGTAAATATTTAATGGTCTTATCTGTTAAAAAATCAGAATAGTTTAAAGAGATATATCAAACAACTAAAATTCTAGTACAAACAGTATCTAAGACTTGAATTAAATCTTATTTAAATGTCTAAATATTGATGTAATTAAAATACTTTTAAAATACTGACAATTCATATCACATCATTTCTTATTGCTAAAATTCCAAATGTCAAACATCAAAAGTCATTGAAAATGTATGCATTTAAACAAATTACAAAAAATTAATTTTTGCATTCAAACATCTCAAAAATATTTCAAGTAAGGTTATTAATTATTTATTCTTCATAACAGGTTTTAGTTTGTAAATATGAGGTGGTAAAGAGACAAAGAAAAATTCTATTGCTGTAATGTTGAGTAATTTATGTTGTTCTTTTAGAGATCAAACAATGGTTTCAAAATCAGAATCTCAGAATGATTACATTGAATAATTAAGCAATATCAGAAATGTCAATAGCAATGAAAATAAATGTATCAGCTTCCAATGCTTAATTCCAACTTTTTACTGAGTTTTTAATTTTTTTTTTTTATAGTTTTCTTAACCAAAATTTAGTATGCAAAAATCATCATTTTTTAAGACTCACAGCAGCTTTTTTAAATTCAATAAATAATAAAGTACAGCAGATCTAGAAATGACTGAGATACAACTAAAAGGAGTAAAATATGAAAAGCTGTTTTATGATTACTCTTTCAGGATTGTAAAAAATCTAACCAATAAGAATAGATTTAATATTGTACATTATCAAGAAATTTTACTTTTGCAAATCAGTGTTTTTTAATATTACATTTTCAAAAGAAATAAATAACAAATATAAAAAAAACATGTAGGTTAATTATCACCAAATTGTTTGATCAGACAGTATAAATTTTAAAATCATTTATATAACCAGATACGGACTAAACTAAGAGATTACAATCATCCTTATCAACTTATGACATGAAACATTTGCAAACAAATTTTGTTTATAATCAAGACTTTCCATGATTACACACTTAAAACAAGGTGAAGCATTACTGAAAAGGATATTGGAAAAACAATATAGCACCATATTTTAAATATTAAGTAAGAAAAACCTTAGTAATATTACCAATTTTGTTTTAGTTAACTTCTCAAATTAGGAGATTTTAAAAATATTTAAATTTTTGTTTTAGTTAAAATACTTTTTTTAAAAAAAACTTTAAATGATGAAAATAAAGAATGCAAAACTTACTTTTCCCCCTGTTTCCCACCACTTTTGGGGTTGATAAAAACAAGCAATGGGTGTGTTCCAGGTACAGGGTCAATTTGGAATGAGCTTTGATGCTGAAGAATGGAAAGAAAAGTAGAAATTAAAATGCTGAGAACAAACATAGAAGCTGAGTTTAATTGGCATAATAATTTTTTTTGAAAACTAATCCCAGAATTTATATCATGAAAGTTTTATTAAAAATAGTATAAAATACTTAATTAATCAGTTTTAAAAATGAATCTAGTTATCTTACAAAAACTCAGTAAAAGGTATATAGAAAAAATATATGTATCTATGCATTTTGAAAATGAAAAATACAAGTTTTAAGAAATAAATTTAAAATCAATACTTATTTGATTTAGACTATTCAAAAGTTATCCTAAAAACTAAGCAAATAAATACATACAATTAAATACTTTTATGTTTAAATTTATGCATATTTTTTATTATAAAGAGTAAATATATACTAAGAATTAGATAAAAAAAGAAAGAATAAAAATATTTTTACGAAAATTCAACATAATTTGCATTTTAGAAATTTTCACAAATTTCGTAATGGCAAATATTTTCTCCAATATTGATCAATTATATTTTAGTGTCTAAGGTAGCAAATCAGTGAGGATAAGCTATGATGAGTAGTCTCCCTTACACTCTCTACTATTATGGCATCATTGAAATAATCTTTATATACTTACTCCATTTTCTGAAAATACATTCACAGAAGCTGGGAAAACATTCATCAGGAAACATATGTTTAAATATTTTAGCAGTTAATATTTACCTTTTTATAACCAGTGGTGCAATAAAACAATTTTAAGAAGTTTTATTTTTATTGATTTTCAAAAAATTTTGATTTATTGCATATTTATACTAGTTATAATGGCAACCACAGGGTGCGATAGGTAATTTGTCGCCACTTATATTTTTAATTTTGCGCAAGCGTGTTGTTTGTTTTTGATTTTATCGACTGCACAGTATAGTGGGGTCAGTTAGGCACCGTCTGTGCAGAAAAAGAGCACTATGATGCAACTCACTCTGCCAGAAATTTGGAAACGGTATACTGTAGTATTTGGCATTCACACTGAAAGCTCCAATATGAACATTTCATAGGACATGGGTGTCAATCTGAGGACAGTGCAGAGGATTCAGAAAGAGTTGGATGAGTCTAATAGTGATTATAAAGGTGTTTGAAGTAATCATTAATGATGGCAACCATATGCCTCCATTCATCTTCCTACAGGGCCTCATACTCAACACAGGGTGCCTTTAGGAAGTAGTGCTGCTCTGGGTCAAGAGAGTGGCAGGGTCAACCCTTACATCTGGCCACCTAACACCCCAGACTTGCAACCCCCTTGATTATTATGTGTGGGGCACAGTTGAGCAAGAGACCAACTAAACTCCTTGAATTGAAGGCAAGCATTCACCAACTTAAACAGAGAGACTATTTAGAAGAGTTGCAGGAGATTCTGAAGTCATCTGGAGGCTGTGGTTGAAGCCAATGATGATTTTATTGAATAAATTTATTCTTTAGTATTTCAAAATATTTTGCGTAATTTTGGTAAATGTATCTGATAAAAAGATGTCAGTGTTATTTTCATTTTTTGCATAATTTAGACGACAATTCATCTATCACACCCTGTACATATATATATTCTTTTTATTAATAATAGCTAAAAACTGCTGCATTTATAGATAATTACTGATGGAACAAAAGGTATAAGTTTTAAGATAAATCTTGCCCTTATTTTAATTGCAATGCTTATTATGGATGCCATACAATTGACTTTTTAAAAAAAAAAAAAAAAAGAACCTACTTTTCATATGCTATGCTATTAAAGAATAAATGATTTCTTTTTTTTTTTTTGCTCTTATGATTGTTGCAATAAGGCAATTTTGTTCTGAAGATAATTTGAATAAATATATAAACACATTTTTTAATTTGTTAATTCATTATTGATCACTTATGTTGTTCAAGATTATTTTTACACAAAAAATAAATATGTCCATTAATTTAAAAATTTAAAGGTAAAATGCTAAATGAGCAAAAAGGCATTTAGAAATTGAAAAAATTAAAAATATTATCCAAGAAGAACATGGTGAACAAACTAATTTTGCAGGCCAATTCATTAGCATAATGAATTTGATTCTTACCAAATGCCTTGGACCTGACTCAGCTGGACCAACTTGCTATAGAATAGTGCTTTGTAAGCTAGTTTAATTAGCTATTATTATTTAATGAGGTCTGACACCCACACTTGTCTCCTTGTACTAACCTAAGTTAAACTTCATGAATGAAGTTTAACTTAGGTTAGTACCTACATGAGATAAATACTGATTTCTGTCAAAAGCAAACAATAATAATATCAACTTGAAATTAGAAAATTAATGAAAAAAGCAATTCATTTCTAAGATGATTACACATAAATATAAATACTTATTAGTTCCCCAATTAAAATTTATTGAAAATTTGTGACTGTTAAAAGTTATATGCAACACACTCTGAAGATAGTATAAGAGAGTAATATTATGACTAAAAAAAGGTAAATATAGAAATAGGACTTGTAGATCATCATTAAATCTGATATATCTCAATGATGTGTCAAAAGTCATAGGATAGGTGCCTCATATTGTGTAGGACCCTCTTTATCTGTGCAAAGTGCAGCAAGTCAATATTGTATCAATTCCACAAGTGGTTGGAAGACCTTTAGAGAGATGATGATCTATACTGTCTCAATAGTAGTCCACAGATCCTTGATATGTGCAGGTTCAGAATTATCTATAGAAATAGACTACTCCATCACATCTCAAATACTCAATTGGGCTTGTGTTGGATAAATGTGGTGGTCATACTATTTGTCAAAAGTTTCCAGAATGCTCCTCAAATCAATTTTGGGCAACTTAGTCCAGATGTCACAATGCATTATTCTGCTGCAGTTCACGCATTATGAAACTATTACTGTTCTGCATAATGTATTGTTGACAATTGGGGTCCATGGCACCATGAGGTATGTGCCTCAACCAAAACTAACCATCAACATAAAACAACTGAAAATGTGACTTATTAGACTATGCCAGTGTCACAAAATCTAATTAACAATGTCATGTGGGATAAGGTGCTGTGTCCAGTGCCATGGTATTAACAGTGACACCCAGGTGGTTCTTCTGTTCCCACATCCCATTGAAGCAAAAGAATGCTGAACTGATTTGTTGGCTACATGCCTAGTACTTCTTGCATTGAATGTGGATGCGATTTGAATCAGTGTTGCTTGTCTGTTACTGCAAATGATTCAAGCCAAATGTCTCTGGTTACAATCATTAAGGACCTGTGGTCAGCCACTGCATTGTTGTCAGTGCATGATAATGCCTTCCATAAGGTACATATGTGACACTCCAGATCAAGGATGTCACTTGAGCCCATCTGGCATCCATTATCATGCCTCATTCAAATTCTGATAATTCATGTTATCTTACCGTATTCAGTAGCCAGTGTTCACACTAACTTACCAATCATCAGGCCTGGGATTTCCACGATATCAAGGTATGGCAGCAACATTACCTAACATTACCTTTACATACTGCTATTCTATGACTTTTGGCACATCAATATAAATATAAATACACACACACACACACACACACACACACACACACACAAAGAGTATGCTGAAAAGTTCTTAGTTAAGCCAAGAACATTTCTGTACCCTTCATATATATAAGATACAAAAAATGAAATCAAGAAAAATATTTCAAAACATAATAGTATAAAAAAAACAATAAAAAATTAACATCAAAAGCAAAAACATTCAATTTATTCAGGCTGAATTGTTAGATAATTTTATGTAATTCTCTATCTTTAGGTGCCATTCAATTAAAAAAATCTAGTATTTATATGAGTGTAGAATATCCAGCTAAAATTTAAAAATCCAATATTTATATGAGTGTAGAATATCTTGAAATTACAGTAAAAAAATGGTCAACAGAATATTGCCAGGAGCCATTCAGGCTTATGTTACACTAGTAACATTAATGTCTATGTTTGTGTTTTCAAAACAACAATACTTGAAAGCAAAATATTTGCCTGTATAAATCAATGAATGCCAATGATAAATATTAAACTGAATTAACACTTTCATGTCTGAAGCATTGTTATGAAATGTTGCATAAATAAGCAGTGTATTCCTTACAATAGTCTTCATGGATAACTTTCCCATTAGAATATTTGATTGTCAGAAAACTTTGTGATGGCTGTATGGCCTAACAAACATGAAAGTGTTACATATTAAACCACAGTAAAAGGAATTGTGGAAAGGAAAATAGGATAATGGTCTGTTGGTCAATAAAATATAAGACCAATTTTAATCAAAGACAAATTTAAAGAAAAGACATGACTAAAATTAATAAGTAAAAGCAGCAAAGGTATGAGAAAGGCAAGAAATGTTAGCCAGATAATAAATATTTTTATGGAAGGAAAAAACAAGATGAAATTATGAAAAGAGTGTGGATTATAATAATAACAAGAAAAGGAATAAGAACAAAAATAAAGTTGTAAAAAGGTATGAGTTTTTGGCATGAGACCCTTACCAAATATATTCAATAATAAAGATAATACCTGGTTAATTCAGAAAGGAAAAGGAACATTCAAAGGACCAATGACAAAAAATATCTTTAAAAATGAAAGTATAGGAGAAAAGGGGTAAGTTTTAGTGAAATCAGATTCTAGTAAGAAAAAAATGTCAAAGTTTCTATTAGCTGATTATTCAGTTGTATAATAAATATAAAAGAAAATGAAATTACAATTCAAGAAAAAATTTAAAATATTATGTTTGGAAATGAATAGAGATTCTAATAATAAAAGAGTGCTTGGAAGTAAGATCCATAAAAGAATAAACATTGGCTTATTCAGACTGATAAATATATATGTTGCTTGGTATCAAACACTTCTACAGAACCATAGAAAAATAAAATTAAGCATACACTTTTCTTTTTCATCATAACCATCATCTTACAAGGAGTGCTGAAAAGTTCTCAGCTTGACCCATTTCCCCAAATCTTGCTAAATGACTCAATATCAGAT